GCTAAAGGCACCTGAGGACGTCTGAGATAGTAAAAGGATAATGGTATCATGCAATAATGAATCTTATTTTATCGCTCTGGCAGCCGGTTGGCCTACTTCACAACATGGAATTGATGTTGTCAGATCCGATAATCAGAAACAAGAGTCTATATCGTTTCATTTTTCTATTTTTGATTCTTTTAAGATTCCGGACTTCGGAGATTTTTGGTTTTTACCTCATAGCTTTTTATTCATTGCTGGTATTTTCAGATTCACTGGATGCAAGTGTCAGATTCACTTTCAATTTCTATTTTGTTCATTTCGGCGTCCTTGAACATTTTGTTTGTTATTCTTGTGAAATTATTTTATCAATCACATTTATCAATATCTATAGATTAAATAGTTTCTAATTAGGTTCTGAGCGACGAATGGAGTAATGAATGTATCTATTTTTGTTTTACAAAGATGTGTGGTTTTTTTTCGTAACTGTCATTGCCTTTTGGACCAGAAAAAATGCAGGTAGTTTCTGTAAGTTTTTTAATTTATTAAATACGTTTCTGTTACGTCTGTGTAGGTGATACTATATAATATCAGTGAAACCATTGTTAAATATTTTAGTACAAGTATACGAATATCAAACAATAATTTGTATACTACGTATGTCGTTTAGTAAGGCGCAGTCTGATCTACGTACATCAAACAAAATACAATAATTAATTATCTTAACTAAATTAAATTTATAAGATAAAAATAAACTGACCATTATGATATTATGATCTGACATGGTCAATGGCAAATGGTCATGCCTCATTATCAAAAGTTCATGTAGTTTATCCTGTGTTAGAATAATATGCCATAATCGGATATGATAATATTAATTCATTACTTAATCATATTATATTTTATAAAATGTAAGCCAAAATATCTTGACTCAATATGTTATAATAATATTATACTTATAACAACATTTAGTTTCTTCGAGTATATAGAATTATAACAACTATAACCTAATATTATATTTCATTACAACATATTTTATGGTAAGTGACGTAGTGACAGGTAATATATTTTTTTTGAATAATTAATTCTGAATCATATTAATGAATAATTTATAATTTTACCATTATTATTGCCGTTTTAATTATATACACACTTTATATTTCTATTGTCTATACCTACATAGGTTTAAAGCTTTTCTGCTTTTTCTACCGATATTTTTTTATTTAAAGTTATAATTTAATATGTGTGCTATATATACTTTTATAAATATCAAACATTAAACATTAAGTAGTGCCTAATATGTTAATATTCTTAAAAAAAGAAGCAAATTATTAGTACATAATAATATACCAGCTATTGATTAAAAGCTAACCGTCTACTATTATACAAAAGCTTACTCCAACCTATAATATGGTCCTATGGAATTGCCCTCTGCGGAAGTTCATCAAAACCAGCTAACACCCGAACCATCCAAGCTTTCCAAGCCATTTTCCTTCTATGAATGACTGCCAACGCCCCCTTATCGGTACGTTATCAATATCAGTCTTTACAATGCGCTAAAGCTACTACATTAAACAAATAGCTGTCACATATTCTACACTCGCCTCCACTCCAAAACAGCCGATCACCCTATTAGCCTCATATAGTTCAACTCACTCCAACCATATCTTCCAGGAAACCCTCTAAGATATGTCTCAAATGCAAATGGCTTAGTGACCGAATCAATCTTTAACGCATAGGTACTTTTTAGGTAAATCACTCAAATTCAGGCGTTTCTAATGTGAAGCGCCTTCAAGTCTCTCGCCGTTTTTTTCCTTTGTATAACTAAAATTTTTTCTAATTGTGCACCCTAGTACAGATTGTAAATAACTTATTAAAACAACCAATTTAAAAAAAAAAGGTTATAGGTATAATACCTTTTGGAGCAATAAAAATGGTTAGGTTTGATGGGTAGTTTCTGGAAGCAAATTATTGGAACTCTTTAAAGGTAAAACTAAAACGTCCTAATTGTCAATAAAATAAATAATTATTGAAAAACAGTTAGAATATTTAAAAAACAAATTGTTCGATGTATGTTTTATTACATTTTTAGTTGTCAGTCAAAAAGGTTGAACATTTAAAACAATAAATAAACATTGTGAACAATAAAAGATTCCTCGTGAGCTTTTCTTACAGAAATTTAATAACATCAAAAATACATATTTAAAAACGTTGACGAAATTGGATAGTTTAACCAAAAAAAAAAAATATATATCATATGTCCAATAAAATATCCTTAAAATAATAGGCCGACACCGACCATCTCCGTTTAGAATTTTTTTTTATACATTGTATAGATGCAATGATGTATTAATGAATTTAAATAATTTTAACACATTAATTGCAGCGATCCACTTACTCAATGACGATAGTTAGATATGTTGCCTTGTATACGCTTGACTACGTTTACCATACATCAGACTAATAGCGGAGCGACTTTCCTATTTTTTCCTAGGTCTTAAGTCTTATACATTAACTATCTATATCAAACGTAAAAGTTGCACTATTCAAATTCCATTTGACCATAAGACCTAGGTATTTAGTATTTTCTAGAAAATTCATAATACTGTCACAATGTATCTATACACTTTTTACATTCATATACTCTAACTGCAGTCTATGACTTATTAACTTACATTCGTAACTATATGTATATTACAATTAGGTAAACTATATATCACAATAACAGTATAAATTATAACTATCAATATTCTCAAATATTTATAATTTTAATGTAAATTGTAATATTTAAACTATAGTGCAATCGAAATAAAGTCAAATGAAGTCAAAAGCAAAGTCGTTCTACTACGAGTCTGCAATGAAGTACCACATTTTATGTCTTTGCTGTCCTTGCTATCATATATGCACTATGTAGCACATAACTAGATAATATTTATAGGGTAATTGATAAAAAATAAAAACACGACTGCTAACGGTGTACAATTATTTTTTATTTTATTATTATTTTTTATTATATTTATAATTTTTTTATTTTCAGTTATTTTCAGTAACGTTTTTCGATTCTATATGTGCCAAAGCAAAGACATAAAATTGAATGTACTTTATTTGAATGTAATAGGTAACGCTTTTCATGGAAACTTTTTGGTGGACACTTTTTCGTGACGGTATTTTATTTTAATGTTTCAAAGTAAAGACTTAATGTCAATATGTTAGCTGTATTTTACTGAATTTAATTACTATAAAAATCTATAGATAGGTACCTACATCTATTATTTTAGTATTAATTACTGAATTATTAGGTCTCATTATCAATGCCTAAGATTCTTTTAAACATATACAGATAGTGAACCTATACATATAGGTACATTATTATCTCTGACCGATGTGTATTAATAATAGTTTTTTATAAATATAAGTGTACAATTATCATAATAATATTTTAAATATCCGGCTCACATAAATACAGTGAAACCACCCTTACATAATAAGGCTATAATACAAACTTAATTTCAATGACCGAAATTATCCGATATTTAGAGGTTTTGGTGTTTCACCTTATATTATAGTATAATAACTCAAATTAACAAACATGCCCGATTAACTAATAGCAACTATTATTATTTTAATCTGCAACAACAACTTTTTATTATTTAGTTTACTTTTTTCTATACAAATTGCGCCATTGTTGTATTTTTGACATTCATATTTCCTACTTTCTGGTGGATTTTTCTAAACAAAAGTGGTCCTATTACCTCCAGCAGACTGTCAAGTATAACAGTAAAAATTTTCAGCCAAATCGGTTCGGTAGTTTTCTCGGTTAGCGCGGTCTAAGAAAACCCTTACCATTTTATATAATAGTATAGATAGAAAAAAACATATGAACACAATTTATAGTAAATATAGGAACTACAATAATAAAACACACGTAGGTTGAAGATAAGTAATAGGTACATATACCTATGTCAGTATTAAATATTTAATATAGTCGTTATTAAAATCGAACTAAATAAAAAAAATTACTGATAATATACTAGTGTACTCTATAATAGGCACAATATACCTAGGTACCTATATTATAGGTGACTTCGTTACAATATGAACTAACGATACATACCTATAACTAAACCTTTTATAAATATTGTGTATATAAAAAAAAATCGATCAAAAATCTATTTTACTAACAAACACGCCGCGAGGGTGTATGATAATATCATATTATCATATATTATTATTTATTATTATAATAAAGTATTCATATTATAAACTATTTAGGTATAAATTAGTATAATAATACCTTTTAATAATAATAACAACAACAATGCTATATTGTGTTATTTTAATATTGTATTATGTCCGATACGATTTGGGCTTATAAGACGCGTGCAAACAGGCGGCGAGCGGCGGCCGACGGTCGCCTGTAAATGGTTTTGGAGTGTTGGCGATGAGGGTGGGGAGGGGAAGGGTATAGTCCACGCGAAAGGGTGCGCCCGCCGCCGCTTTGACGTTTTCGCGGGCGTCCGGTGGGCGGTCGGTCGGCGTCTGCCGGGGCGAGGTGGTCGGCGGCGGTAGGCAGACCCGCGCGCGCGCGCGCACGAAACGGGGTGGGCCGATGGGCGGACGGTGGCCGATTAGCCGGGCCGGAAGGAGGAGGACACCTGTGCCCCGAGGGAAACGCCCGGGCGCGCGTTCGATCGTCCGCCGCCGCCCGCGTATACCTGTCGCGCAAGGATTATACCTGTTTTTTTTATACAGCGTTATCGTGTTAACGCGCGTGTGTGCAAGTGTGATGCATGTGTGCGTGAGTGTACGTGTGTGCGAGTGTGCGTGTGTGTGCGTGAGAGAGTACGTGTGAGTGCTTACCTATTCACACTTCGACCCGTTTCCTCCGCCGCCACCACTGACGCCACCGCTGCCGCCGCCGCCGCCGCCTCATCCACTGCCGCCGCCCCTTCTTCTCGCGCACGTCTCTCTCCGCGTTCGATATCATACTCGAACCGTCGCGGTAGTCTATGTTTGACGAGCGGACGCGTTCGGTCGACGACCACGACCACGATCACGATTACGACCACGACCACGGTGACCGCGTTCATTCGTCTGTTTTCAAATAGAATCTATAATACAACAATCATATTGTTCTATCATACGCGACAGTTATAGATCGAGCTTCGGTTTCGTTTTCGCCGTCGACATTTCCTAGACATTTTTTCTCCGTCGGGTTTTCCGGCCAAAATTCTTCAGCTGAAGCCCAATAGGATCTGCCGTATAGATTTCTAGCGTCAGTCGCGTACAACCATCGTCGTCGTGATGCGTTATCGTGATCCGTTGGCGCGTCGATCGGAAATCGGAATTCACCGGAAAGACGCCGCCGTAAATCGAGTAAGTACCTATCTGTAAGAGCTAAGACCACCACTGGTTTTGTTACCCTACCTACCTACCTATCTATCGATGAAAGCTTCGAAATGTGATATTTATACCTATTAACACCATAGTATTTTGTATAAGATGAAGTGTGTACGGAGAAGTTAGTATATTCAACTCGTGTAAAATAACTGAGGAGGGACTATACGTAAGGGCGAGTTTTTTTCTTCGTCAAAATAATAATGTATCATCACACCTAGCAGTGCTTAGGTGCTTAAGTGTACTTAGGTAATGGCTGGTACATGAACGTCAACGACGGCAGAATTCGTTTTTTTTATCACGCGAAAAACGTAAGAACCGTAACCAATTTTACGAGACATATTTAGTGGAAATGACACTGTATACGATTATGGTCAATGTAATAATAACATCGTATTATTGAGCCATCAGGTGCGTTTAATAAATTGCTCGCCAATCGCCGCGTCCCCTCTATATAAGTATACTAATGTACCTAATTATTATATAATATCTATAGCAAGTACCTATTATATAGGTATATAAAATATAATAATGCCAAAGAAAATGATTTATTTCTATTTTTTTTTTACAAATCGAGCATATCGTTTAAGACGTGATGTATTTTCTTAATACGGTCTCATGGATTATTGTTGTACAGTTTTTCATTCGGTTTAAGTGGGCTTTCTTTCCGTGTGCCGTTTATTCGTCAATATATAACAGCGGCAGTACAATGGAAGTACAAAAATATCACATCATTGTGTAGGATTGACATAAAACCATTTATATCTTTGAATCTTTCCGTTGTTAGATTTCATCTTTAACATTGTAATTTATTGTAAATGCACAAATGACCTTGTCAATAATTATTGATAATTGTATTTAATTTAATAAAACGTGGTCATGCGCATTACATGTATACCAAATATTATCTAATAATATTTGGTATCAATTGAAAATCCTGTAGGTTTTGAGGATTAACATTATTGGACGTTATATGAGCACTACCTATATATAGAATTTTATACATACCGATTTCCACGATAATTTACAAAGATTTTTAAAAATCCATATTCTTTCATAAGTCGGTAAATACATTGAGAATGCATCTAAATAATTTTATATTCTGATAAGACATTTTCGAATTTAATATAAAATACATTTCAATTAGGTAATTCTAGTATTGATACCTACCTATTGTACCTATTGTTTACAAACATTATAAAACTAACTTTAATAGATATCTATTTTGAGTTTTGACTATTAGTAAATTATATTATATATTATGTATAACAGAGAAAAATTAGTAATTTAATGTAGTGTAAAGTAATGAATATTCTACCTATTGTTTCCAATGAAAAAATGTAACGTTGGCTAATAATCACGTAGTTCATGCTGAAGACCAATAAAGAAAAAATAAAGAAAAGTATAATACCTATACCTATTTGTGTTAATAAAACAAAATGTTGTAGATAGTCTGCAATGATTCTACACATCCGTATGACAGTATAATATATATTAATATATTGAAGGATCATTTGGAATGTCCTTCCATGCAGTTAATATTTCACATATATATTATAAATTATAATTTATAAATATATACATAAATAGCGCACACGCTCTTCTTAACTTCTATGTGAACCATACAGCAAATGGTGTAATTTTAATAGCTCATCGTGCATGTTTTTCATATTTAATAAATAATGGCTAATAATATTACCTGTATGTCATAATTACACTGTAGACATCACTAATGTAGTTTTTTTAAACCATTATGTATAGTAATATCAAACTGGTTCTTCACAAATCAGTAAAGTCATATCCATGTTCCTATGATATAATATGTACACATCGATAGTCACAAATTCGTAACTATGAATATATTATGGTAAAAGAAATATAATATATAGACCTACATAAATATATTTTTTAAATTGCACAGGTTGGACACATTTTTTTGAATACATTTTGATAAATGATACTTCCGAGTAAAGTGAATTGTCTGAACTTATTCTCAATTTATTTAAAACAATATTATTTTAAACATAGGATGTGGGTTCTGAAATTTTCTTCTAAGTTAAAATTGGACAAGTGGAACACTGAGGTAAATTTTTAGAAACACAAAAATGAATTTAAAAAATCCAGTGCCAAACCTTAAAACTTCTAATGTTAACACAATGTATACGATTTAATTTGAATACATAATAATTTATTCCTTATTGTTATTAAATTTTAAATATCAAATGATTTTTGTCAAGTTTAATCTGAAACATGTTAACCATTATAACAAACATGTTAATAATATGTAATAATACTTATAAGTTATAACAAATATCGATGAGTGGACATACAAATATATATACATATTTATGTAAGGACCTAACTATAGGTACCTACTTTAATATAGATCACCATATTAATAAAATTCTATTTTTGATAAATGTTTGTGAATAAAAGTTTTTTTATAATATATATGTTTTATTATTAATTTTACCGTATTCTGAACAAAATGTTGTAGTTTTTAGTCATTTGTGTTACTTACAATTATACTTGTCTAAGAATTACTGTGTCCACAGAAAAATAATAGTAACAAATTTTAAAAAATGATTATGAGTTCAAACTAATTCATTAAAAAAAACCAATGTCATGTACCGAAGTTAGCAGTGGTGTACCCAGGAGGGTTTTGAGGTTAAATCCCCCAATCACCTATCGATTATTTATTTGAAATTTATTTTTAAACTTATAGGTACTAGCAATTGAATAGAACATTAGTCGTTGCCTTTGATCGATAACTACTACTGTATAGTTGTTGACAGTATTATTGTTATAATTTTGACTATCGGCTGTCTGTCGTATGAAGGTCTTGTCTTATCAGTCAAGTCCATTCAATTTTGCCACTCAATTTATACAAATTTGAAACTGTCAATATTTTATATTTTATATCAATGTCTAAAATAATAATTGTTAAGTTGGAAAGTATTTATAATATGTATACAGTACATAATTAAAAATAAATAGTTACAAACATTGTTGAATAAATTATAAAGATATTTTTTTAAAAATAATTATGATTTAATGTTAACATTCATAATTGTTTCCTGATATTAATCGATAATCATAAATCGAATTATTAGAAAATCATATAAAAATAATTATGTAAGATAATATTATGTAGGTAGGTAATATAATAAACAAATTTTTTTTTATAAACTCTGTTTAGCATTTGATTGATAATATTATAATATTGAACTTCATTTACAAGAATTTTTGTTAGATGGAGGATGATAGATTTTAAAATATATTACGAGGATGTTGTAAGATTTAAATAGAGTTACAATAAATGTGCGCATTGTAATGACAATATGGTTCAGTGTAAGATAGGATATGAATTGTCGTAGAATAGATCAAGAAGTTGTGGTGGAGTGTGCAGAGTGGAGAGTCAAAATGTATTTATTAATTTATCATATCGACCTCATATTTATAATATTAACCGGCTGGTGTATGGGTCATGGGATTCAAGCTATGTTGTTTAAGTAATCAAACTAAAATAAGATCTAAGATTCAAAAATAAATTATACTATTTTTTCCTGTCACTGATCCAGAAGTAATTCAACTTTGGGGGGGGGGGGTTAGGGCTGATTTATCAAATTATGAAGCTACAATAGTTTTCAATATGAATGTTTTCAGTGGCCTATACTATACAACCATAACTCTTAAGGGTATTCCCAATTCGATCCTGCTGTATTTCAACCAAATTGTACTTAGGTATATTAGAAGTCGGTAAAAACTTTTATGAGCATGTATTATATAAAATTCGTCACAAAATTTACTAGAAAATTACTTTTCCACTTTTTTAACTAAAAACTGATAATATTTTGTTTTTGTTTTTGAATATTAAAAAATGTATGAGGTTAATAATATTGAATTTATATTCACTAAGACACTAATGATATCTTAATATACACAGCTTCATACGAAACACAAACCCACACACCTTATATAATTGCCTATATTTAACTCCTTAAATTTGTTTAAAAAATTTTAGTTAAAATCTATAACACTAAACCGATTTATTTTTCCTTTTGGGGTCTAGAGTGAGGTTGCCTCATCACCAACCCTCCTTAAACCTACCACTGACTATACCCATATACATTGTGAACTCATGGACATTATGTTTTCTAATTAAAGGAATCAACTATTTTCCTAAACTAATACAAAATATTTCATCAATAATATTATTACTTTTTTTTATAAATATTTAAATATCTAATGATAGGATAACAGATTATAATAGATACCTTTTTAAAAACTTAAAACTTTGTAAGTACCTTTATTTTAAGCATTATAGAACAGTTAAACTATATAATTTTAATTGTATTCAATGGTATTTAGAGTTTATAATTTATGTAGCTAAGTTATAAAGATAGCTGCTATTTTTTATATTATAAATTATCTTATGAATTATTACATAGTTGTACAATAATATGATTTTCATTATTTGATTTCAGAATATTTTGATTTAAAGTCGATCATAATTATAACGTAATTCGTCTTATCAGTTATCCACCATTCATAATTTTGTGAGATCCACGATCAAAGCAGTGAACTAAGTAGTTATTTAAATAGTGAACAGCAAACAAAAAAATGGCCAACTCTACATCGGTGACCAAGTGCACTGATTTTTCCGTGTCCAGCCTCTGCCGAGACATGAAAACTTCACCTCCTGATCCAGCAATAGTGGTCGGTGGAACTGGGACTAATATGAAATTGACACTGCCTCTTGCAGCTTGCGCTCCATTTTCATCCAATATCAATGGACCAACTGGTAAGTCTCAAATAGTCATAATTACTTCGTATATCCAAGCATAGTTAGATACAAAAAATAAGTTTTAGTATAAAAAAGTTCAATTATAATAAACATCAACAAAAAAATAATAAAAGACTTAAACAGAATTTTACTAAAAAATGATTTGGTCTTGTTATTACATATTATATAGTACTTATAGTCTGTTAGTATTAATACGCTTGGTAAAATGTAAAGATCATAATTTATATAAACTTAATTTAACTTAAACGTAATCAATATTTAGTAGGATGTTTTAACTTTTATTTATTCTAAAAATTATTCTCATACATTTTTATAAGTAACTAGGTACAGCATGAGTGCAAATTTACAATTATTACACAAGTATACTGAGGTACCTATATAATATGTGTATATATATATAATATATATTATATTGTAACCTAAAGATATTACATTTTTTCTGTGTTTTGTACCTACATTAAAATTTAGGATATAATAGTATCATATATTTTTAATTGCTAAGATTTATGTATTTTGACATTTTAAAATTAACCTTTAGAAAAAATGTATAAGGTTTCTATACTACGCAAAATTCTGTTTATTACGTTTTTTTTAATTAATTAGAATCACATGTGCTGTGTACTAAATATATTGGTAAATCGTCGGTCCTATTTCTTAATGGTGAATAAAAAGAGAATAATAATAGAAATGGCATAATAAAAAATATATGATTTCATATATTTTGACATAATTTATTCTATCTTTAAATTTAAATATATCAAAACAAATTGTAAAGCTGATGATTAATACATATTATAATAAATAGCTTAATCTTATTAAAGTTATGTTAAACCACGTTTAAGTCATAAATTGTTAAAGTTTAAATTGAAAACTAATGTTTTTATTTTTTGCCTGCGTAAAGGCATTCATAAAATATTCATACATGACAATTTAAAACATTTATTCATACATGTAGTTTAAAAAAAAAACCAAAATTTTACTAATTTTTATAATAGAGTGAGGAATTATGTGTTGTTTAATGTGGGTATAATAAAATGAACATTGATAGCAGTTACATTATTTTTTGAGGAAGGTAAAATAAAACTGGTTTTCCTCGAAACCATTTGGGCAAAGTAACTGTTATTACTTATTATGTTCTAAATGCCACATTATATTAAACTATATTACATTTTTGCTTCACAATAAAATTATTTTATTTTGAATGCTGTAATAAACACGTGTTTCATAGGTTACTAATTGTTAAGAGTTCTCTATATGAACATATTTAACTGTACCTATACATTAAAGTTAAGTCGTTGTGTGTTTGATACAACTCATACAACATAGTTAAGCTATAGAGTGAATAAAATACAATGACGAGAGATATAAAAATAGTTAGGTATATGTTCATATTAAAATAATTAACTTAATGTCTAAACTTTTTAATACAAAACAGTAATAATCAATATATCAATAATCAATAATAAATATTTTTATTTTTATTAAGCAAATTTATACATTCAATTTTAATTACCAAGTAGGTACATCCAATCGTTTTAGTAATAGAAAACAAAACTATCCAAAATAAATTCATAAAAGAAACATCAGCTGTATCTATTATAGTATTATTTGACAACTTAGAATTATATATAGCTAATAGTTTTTTTACAATATTGACTATAATATATTGAGACGTTAAATGTCAAATTAGTTGCTAATCTATTTTTTTTTTTGCATTTCAAGTATTTCCAAGTAGGTTTTTTTTATTTTCTTCTTGCTACATTATAGCATGTTCCTCATCAGTGATTTTCAATAAGTGAGGAACAACTGTTATGTATATATGTATATATATATTCAGGTTACTGGTAACTGCAGGTAGACATTTTGTAGTTAACACAATACTATACTGTTGGTACCAACTACTGTATACTTATATTTATATATAATTATGAATAGTAAAAAACATTTCAGTTTAAAGTTTGATTTAAGACAACTGTATTTGGCTATAGTTATTTACTTTTTATCTATAAAATATTAAAGACTTACCAAAAGAAAATATTTTTCTGGTGTAACATAATATTATTTATTTAGTTCAAGTTAGAAAATAGTTTTTAGCTGCATTTGGAACATATTTATTGTTATTTCACCATAATATTATGAAGTATTAATAATACTAATACCTCCTGAATAGTATATAGATTTTATGTTTCTATATTAATAAATTATTATGTTAATAATATTGTTTTATACAAGTAATTATGCCAACGATTCACGAGGAGATTTTGATATTTTATTTTTGTATCCAAAAGTGACTATCTATAAAACCATAGTTTAACCCACCAGATGTCAATAAATCTATTTTTATTAAAATTCGAAGTTATCGATGCATAGGATTATTATAAGATTTATAAATTCATAATCATTAGAATTCCCTATAGCTATACATATAGATTCGCACTACCTGAAATATAGAAATAAATACATTCTATAATTTATTAAATTATATTAGGAGTATTAATATCGTCTAAAGCATACACAATAAGACTGAATGATGATACTCAGAGATCTGGATATTTCTACTACCTATTGCTAAAGTATATTTATTCAGTCAACCACCGCGTATAGGCGCCACTGACAGTGCAGTTCTCCGTTAGATGACTGTAGAGATACTACAACTGCATGAAACATTGAATTGTACTTCTAACACTTGACCGTAAATGTAAAAGGAAACAACATTTTCAAAACATATTATAATCTTGAAACATTATACGTTATTTAAGCCAAGCTATACATGTAATAGATATACATATATGTACAAAAATATAGTACGTCAAAACCTATTGAGACATAACGACAAGTTCAATACACGTGAGAAAACACATATCGAAATCGATTAACCCCTTCAAAATATAAAAACGCCAAGATCTGTTAGATGGACGTAACATTTTAGTCACGAAAACTCTCGACGAAGTCGTGAGTATCTATTGAATCTCAACAGCGGAGTGTGTAATGTGCTCTGAATTCACAATTATTAATTGCATCGAATCGTTCTTATAATACATGATAATATATACATATTACATAGATATATTATGATATATGCATGCCCGTTATCTACACGATCTGATTAATTTTGCACATACCATAAAGTCTCTTATCGAAACACGATTGCTCTCAATATAAAGAAAAAAATTATTTATTTTTTATTTGTCGGACATCCATGATCGTGAGCAATAAATTCGTGGAATGAATTAATTATTTCTGCAATAATATGTTCAATTTCAACCGGTGCCCTATGATGGGGAGTAAAGAATAGTTTTGGGCTTTGTTGGTGGCCTTTTATACTGACAAAATATTATTTAAAAAAAATCAACGTCTCTATAGTCTCTACCTCCTGCTTATTGATTGTTTACACGACACTCAAAACGCCCTCAAAATTAGTTTATAAGACTATTTTAAACACTTTATATAGCTTTTAACATTCGGGATGTGGATTGCTTAGGCCTCGAATGCGTATTCTATTGCCGTCAGATAAATACACACACTCATACATTTTATATAAATTAAATATAATACTATAGGAATAATATACAAGTTGTATAATGTATTGAAGATGAGTCTCAAGGCGTTCGGGGAATCTCGGAACATGCTCATGAAACTCCGCTAATATCTCTGCGAGCCGATCGATTTGGCGCGGTTATATAGCGTACACCATAAACATTTTATTATGTATACAAGTTCCGCGCGGGACAACTACCTATATTATAAACAGTCGAAGGCGGGTGAACGTGTTCGCAACAGTGGCGGCGGGGAGGTCGTCGTAACACGTATGCTGGTGCCGCGGCCGGATTAAGACATTTATTGATGCAAAAGTTATTTTCTGCCCTTGCAACTAAATATCGTCGATAAAAATTAATTTTCTCAGTTCCCTATCAAGTTCAAGTTCATATTATGAAATACCTCCGTCATCATTATGGCGTAAAACATTAGGTACGTACCTATATTCAAATATTTATAGGTACTTATTATTACTCGTATTACATAAAACGTTTAGGAATATTTAAATACAATTATTTATTTTATTGTATTTATTACGCACGTAACAATGGTAGGTGATACAACGATGAGCAACGTAAATAAAAAAATATGTATACTAATATTGAATTCATTCAAGGTAGTATCTATACTTTCATTGCAGTGAATTTTAAAAATTACTAACTTCATTCACAATTCGAATATGTAGTAAAATTAAACTCGACCCATCATAAAGAAAAATGGGAATACAAACAGGACCACAAAATAAAAATGTTGTAAGACACAAAATGTGAAGTATAAAAACTCCCAAATTATATAGACACTAGCACCTGCGGATAACTGCTCTCTCTACCTGAAGCCTTCAGATCATCTGTTTCTCTATATAGATTTATCGGATGTGCATGACAGACTAAAGGCTGAATATTATAAGGGGTAATTTAAAGATGCATCAATAAAGGTACTTGGTCATTCTCAGCAAACACTCGTCATCGTCATCGTCGTGTACGAACATAATAATAATAATAATAATAATAATAATATAGTACTTGAGGGCTAAGATATATTATGTACTAATTCATTATAATATACGATATATTATTCTCTAATGAAATAATTGTAAATTTGCACCTACTTATACATATATTATACGTATATTATAAGTTATAACATAATATAATGGTGTATATTTTATTATACCTACATACATTTCAGTTTTATTTTTATTATATCTCTGTTCGGTGTTCCTTATACTCTCACTCGCCGATTCTTCTTATCTGCGACTTACACACGCGTTTGATTTAACACGTCGTGTTATAAATGCTGTATTGACGTTATTATACATATATTATGTACTATATCCATTATACACATTATACACACACACATACACACTGTCCGCAGGCAAGGTCGACCCGCGATCTTCGGCGGCGGTGTGCCTACAGTATACGTACATAATATATATATATCTACTCTTTCGGTGGCGG